TCTCCACTAGAAGTACTTTTGGCCGCTCTCCCCATACAAGCGCAACCACTGTGCAATGGCGACACTGAGCAAGGAGCACACTTCAAGAGCAGTCATAGATGTTGCCATTGCAACACGCTGCTTAGTTGTTATGGCATTGCCCTCAAATGCGGCAAAGGTATTATTAGTTCGAGTATTATAAGCATAAAGAGAAGAAGAGCCAGAGGAAGGCGAGGAGCAGAGAAGTTTACAAAGTCATAGAAAAATAAGGTTTCAGCTCCATTTACAGCAGAAGGTAAGAGCAAAGCAAAATTGTTTGAATCTCGAGTCGTGTCGATAGCATTCCCATTGTCAAATCTTTGCTCAAGTTCAGGTCAAGCTAACTGGCAGTTACTGACGAGTAATGCTAATAAAAATGTTTATAATAACTGTTTGATAATAATCGAATCTCAGCAGGTCGATAATACGCTTATAGTTAAAGTTCAGCTCAAGTTAGCTGGCAGTTAACTGACAGTTATCGTCAATAATGCGAAATGAAGTTTAACTACAATGGAAGAAGAAGAAAAATCAAGTTTAAAAAGTCAGCCCCATTTACACCATTTACAACAGGTAAAGGCAAAGCAAAGCTGTGATAATAATCGAATCGAATCTAAGCAAGTCGATAACATTTCTATTGTCAAATCACCGTTAGAGTTAGCTGCCAGTTAACTGAAAGTTACTGGAGAGTAAAGCTAATTACAATATTCATCACTTTGACAAGTGCAAAATGAAGTTCGATTATTATTGAAGAAACAGAAGAGAAATAAGTCTAAAAAGTTATAGATATATCTATTATCAGCTCTATTTAAGCAACGCAAAAGTGTTCTACAATATAATCGAAATTGATATAATTCCTAGTTTTAAATTTTGCTTTGGCTTAAAGTGAACTTAGCTGTTATTCAATTGTCAGTTATCTTTCGTTATAATTATATAATAATATCAAAGATTGCAGAAATCTTATTTAAGAATATATGTATATATATAGTATGCACATATACATATACAACATATACAGTATGTATATATACAGTAGAATCCTGTTATAACGACTCTGCTTATAGCATCCGTACGGTCATTACGACGAAAATTCTGCTTCCCAGATAAACCCAAATGAGCCAACTTATAAGGTTACATCGTCTACCGGTTATCGAACTCTGCGATAATTTTAATTTTTGTATATTACAAATATATTTTCTGCATATTGTATAAATGCAAGCTGAAGTTCAATTACATTTGATCTGTTTTGAACGCGAATCAAGTGACTTGAATTATGATTAAAGTTGCCTGGAACGCCTCTTACCTTGCGCAGCATGTCGTCCAGAGAGTCGACATCGAGTCCGGCGTAGTTGTTGTTGAACTGGCTGGAGCAGTTCGAGGAGGTGCTGGTGTAGCGCTTGCGTCGACCCAGCGCGGGCGAATTGACCAGCGAACTGGGCCCACTGGAGCCCACATAGCCCAGCTGGGCGGCGGCCATTAGCGGATAGAGCGAATGATGGGGCGGCAGATGTGGCACATGGCCGACGGTCATGTGATGATGCGTCGAGCCGCCAGCCGTTGAGCAGCAGACGGCCAGACAGCCGCCCGGTGGGGGTGAAGCACCCGACAGCTGTTGTTGTTGCTGTTGTTGCTGCTGCTGTTGCTGCTGATGTCGCACCGTAGCAAGTGGTGAGGGCGGCGCCGTATGGTGCAGCTGCAGCGAATGATGATGATGATGATGCGCATGCGAGTGCGTGCCGTGATGCAGATGATGATGCAGATACGCCTTGGCTGGCGAGCTATTGCCCGAGGAGCTGTTCGAGGTGCCGGCCGTAGTCGTTTCCGTTAGAATTGTATTCGCACTCGAAATGCTGCCAGTCGTCGGGCCAGCGGCAACAGCCGATGCAGCCAGCTCCGTGTGCAGCTGCTGTGTGCCGCTTGTTGCATCGCTGGACGCCGCCAGTTCGCCGTTCTGGTGGTGCATGTGTCGCGTATGGCCGTGATGGTGCTGCTGCTGCTGTTGCTGTTGCTGGTGCTGGTGCTGCTGGTGGTGCTTCTCAGCGGCCGACGCATCCACCAGCATCAGCGTCGTGCCGGCAGCATCCATGTGTGGCTCCACGTTTGAGCAAGTTGTCTCTGTGGGTTGAATGGCGGATATGTGCGTGCCTCTCGCTCTATCTCTCTCACTCTCTCCCTATCTGTCTCGCTCTTTCTTATCCTGATTAGAGCGTGCTTAGGGCTGCATTTTTATTTCATTTTATTGTATTTATTTGAGGTTTTTTTTTTTTAATTATTATTTTTTCTTTTAGTTGCCTATAAAATATGTTGATTCTATATATGTGTAGGCAGAGTGTTGGCATTTGCGCGTGGCAAGGCATTTGTTGCATACCTCAATGCCGCTAAAGGCTCTCATTTCACTCACACATACACACCCTTTCCCTCCCCCTCTGTCCACACAAAACAAACGCCTGTCTGGCGCTGCAAATTTATGTCGGCGCTGCGTTTTGTTTGCTTTTTAATTGCATGCCGCATGCTGCATGCACTTTTAGGCGTCGCCCACATGATTAATGATTACCCAGAGAGTTCGACTCGGCCCTGGCATCGCCAGGAGCAGCGCGCTGGTCTGCTGTTAACCACAAATGCGCTGCAGTAACTGAAACTGAAAACCGATTGTTGTCATTTGCCATTTGATGGGCGCAAATCGAGGCGACAGGCCCCATAAAGTAGACAACAAATATAATAAATATGTTAAATATAAATAAATGCGCGGCGCTCGCAATTGAAATTGCCAGCCAATATTTCGAGCTGAGTGCATAATAAATAAATAAGCTCACAGCGCACAGCGTGATGCAAATTCAAAAAGAAATCCAATCAAATATGCGCACAAATTAATGAAAAATATTCAAAACTGGCAACAACAACAATTAACAATTAAGCGAGTATTGGCATGAGATACCCTATAAAAAAAAAGAAAGAAATGCATATATCTAACTTTTGTAGATTCATATGAGGAATTAAATATCACGCTTTCAAGTAGAAATGCTGTGCAGGATTGTTTAATATTATTTTATATTTGAAAAATTAAATATTTTTTATTTTTTTCTATATTAAAACGTACTTCTACATTCGCAAGTGAAAAGCTACAAAAGAGTTTCCTCCAAAAGAATTTCTATATATTTACTTTTGGAATTCAATTTCACGCTTGTAGTGTGAAATACCTAAGAAACTATTTATTCGGATAATTTCTATATATTAAAATTGACTAAATATAGCCCACTCTTAAGCTGCATTTCACAAATACTTATAGTTATACTAAAACTATTTATTCAAATAATTTCTAAATATTTTCTCAAACTCTCACATATTAAAACTTATTGAAAAAGCCAAAATTTATGCCTCCTCTTCAGCTGCATTTCACAAATATTTGTATTTATTTTCATATGAATCGCAGCTATATTCATGACACACATACAATCAATATACAAATTGATCTACTATAATATGTGCGAATCAAATTGGATGCAACATCAATAGGTGCAACGTGTGGCAGGTGCAAAATGAATTCACACTTTTCAATTTGCATATTTCAACTGTCAGTTTACGTGCTCGTTCGAGAATTAAATATGCTGTCAAATGGCCAGCGCGTGTGATTCACTATAATTAACTTTGATCTAATTACAATGCGCAACAAAGCAAATATGAGCGAAAAAAAAGAGTGAGAGAAAGAGAGAAAATATATTAAAATCATTTATTCATATTGAGACAGAAAATTTCAAATTAACCACAAAAATTAACTGCGGCTAAAAAGCAACAAAAAGAATATAAAATAAATAAATAAATAAATTGTGCTGCAGGCGACTGCGTAATGCTCTATCATAGAAGAATTTTCTGTTTGACTAAGGCAACAGCATGCTGATCTATACATATTTGATTAAATCAAAAACAAATTAGTAAATTCTTGGCATCATGAGACATGTGTGCAAATTATTCCCATTGTTGCTGCTGCTCCTGCTGCTGTTGTTGCTGCTGCTGCTGCCTGACTTGCTTGACCCAACTTGAGGGCCGGCTGCAGTTGGGCGACGCGTTTGCCATTTTACAACAAACAGCAATCAATTCCGAAGCATAAATAACTCAATTTCCAGCATTAGCTGCTGCTTCTCCTGCTGCTGCTGCTGCTGCTGTTGCTGCTGCTGTTGCTGCTGCTGTTGCTGCTGCTGCTGCTGCTTCTCCTGCTGCTGCTGTTGCTGCTGCTGCTGTTGCTGCTGCTGCTGCTGTTGCTACCGCTGCTGCTGTTGCTACCGCTGCTGCTGCTGCTGCTACTCCTGCTGCTGCTACTCCTGCTGCTGCTGCTGTAGTTGCTACTCCTGCTGCTGCTGCTGCTGCTATCACTGCTCCTGCTTCTATTGATGCCAGGCAACAATAAATTAACCAAGGTTTGACGCTGGTATCTGACTTTAGCCAAAAACAGGCAAAGTGACAGCTGAAGAGTTAAGTCGCTGCGGCGCCAGAAGCCAATTAGTGGCATGAATATTCGCAGAGCGTTTATGTATTGCTCTGATTTAAACAGGAAAAAGTAAAATAGAAGCAAAAACCAAAATGCTGTAAAGCAAGCGACAGAGAGTGAGTGAGAGAGCGAGCGAGATGGAATGCCAGCAGCAGCTAGTATATCAAGATCTAATTTCAAGTTGCAGCAGAGCAGGAGTCGGGTAATTCGAGACACGGGCAGCGGCAGCTGCAAGAGGAGCAGCAGCAGACAGTGTAGGACACCAAAGTGCCAGGCGACATGTTTGGCAGGCGGCAGGACATGTCGCTCCATTGCAAATATATGTGTGTGTGTGTACGTATGTGTGTGTGTTTTTGTGTGTGTGAGTGTGTGAGAGAGAGTTGAAGTTTTGTATCGTTCATTTAACAATGTGTGCCACAATGCACGATGATGATACACAGACGGAAACGAGGCGTGCTGCGAGTGGGTGGCACATAGAAAAAGGTATATGTTTAGCATGCGAGTGTGTGCATATATGCATGCGTGTGTGTGTGTGTGTGGCAGACATTGGCCGTTTGCTGTTCTTGTAAGGACAAGCCGTTTTGGAATCTATATGGCCAGGCCATAATTCACTAGAGATAATATACATATGTCTGCCCGTTGGCCCGTTGGTCCGGCTTGGCTGGCTAGCTGGCTGGCAAAGCTGGCAAAGCTGGCGGCAGGCGCCTTCCAACCCGCATGCACAGGCCAAGCAGAGGGCAGTGTCATGCAATTGCCTTGCATGCATACGCACAACAGCAACAACAACAGCAGCAGCAACAACAACACATGCATTTGACACGTTGGCTGACTTGCAACTTAAAGGCGCATACCTAAAGCTGCAGCCGCTCACACAGCAACAATTTTTTTCTCTATTTATAAAGAAAAAACAACAACAACAACAACAAATCCATAGCCGAAAAAACCTGTTTAAGCTAATTTTTTGTGTTGTGCTATTTTTGCATTTGAAATGCTCATCAAATATTTATGGCCACCACACACGCACGTGCACACACACACACGCACTCAAACTCATGCACAGGCACACACACACGCACAATTTCTTTTGACAGCAAAATTCATCAAATATGCTCGTGTATTTGCTTGTCTGCGCCAGAAATTATGCTACAAAAAATAAACAAACAAATAGAGAAGAAGAAGAAGAAGAAGAAGCAAAAATGTTAAATAACTTGACATTGCGTAGCTGCCAGCTAAATACCCTAGCATTGAAGAAATTTATATGAATTTTGGATACTAACCGTTACTAAAATAGATTTGATAAGAGATTTAACTTGTTTACAGGGCTACTCAATGGATGGAATTGGAAATTAAATTGAAAAGAGAGAGTCACAGAAATCGAGCAAGATGAATATGGAATCCAAAAACTCCCATGTGAGTATGGATTATCAGCTAAACAACCTGAGAATTAATCGAGGTATTACAGCTCAAAGATCTGTTAATAGAAAAGGCTCAGACGTCAAGTCATACTTGGCCGGATCCTGACTTAAAGCCTATTAAATATACCCTTGAACTATGACTGTTATAGTAAACTATAAATTTGAACTATAACTCTGATTTGTTGTTGCCCCTAAACTATGAATTTTTTGTTTGTTAACTTCTAAAATTCCATTTAATTTATATCTGATTAGATTAGATTGGTGAAAGATAAAAATTCTTGAGTTTATAAAACTGTAAATATATATAAGCTCTATATATTATAAGAAGAAATATTAAAATGAGAAGGAAACTCATTAACTTCATGTACAATTGTTGTTTCATTGTTTTATACAAAACTCATATTACTAGATAAAAAATTCTTGAGAAAAAGACTTTGAAAGTGACTTCCAGTTCAGTTGAATATCAACTTACAAAGCTTAAAACCGAATCTCAGGCTGTCTTTCAAAAGAAAACATTCCTAAACAGATTCAATATTGTGTTAAATATCTAGTTTAAATTATATAGTTCTAGGAGAAAACAAACTGAATCATGTGATGTTCATATTCTTCTTCATATAGTATATCTTGATTTTACATTATATTTATATTAAAAAAAAATAACAAATTGTTATCACAACAGAATAAAAATGCCCGCCACATGGCTGCATAAAAATTGGCAAACGCTCACACAACAAAAACAAAAGAGAAAATAAATAAGAAATGAAAAATAAACAAAAATCGCTCCAAAAAAAAAAAAACATTTAACCTGCTGCTGGCTGGCAATACTTTCATATACAATTTCCCACACACACACAAACACACATTTATATATATATCATTATTATTATATATTATCTAGCACAAGCCGCTATAAAAATGGCGCCAGAGCGTCTGCCATTGTGTTGGCCTTGGCAACAGCACGGACTTGGCTCGTCACAGGACATTATGAGTCCGAACTCTGAACTCTGAGTGTATGCAACAATTGCTTAAGCACACGCACAGCACAAATAACTGAATTATTCAAATAATATGTAGGTATATTCATGTATTTATATTTAATTTTTGTTCGTTCAGCTTTTTACCAAGATACACACACGCACAAGCACTTGAAAAAAAAAATATTTATGGTTTGGCAATATTTTGTCGCTTTTCTTTTTATTTTTACGCGAAAAAGGTTTGTGGTTTTTTTTTTTTTTGTTTAATTTATTTTTTTTGCCATTTTTGTTTCATTAAATTATTTATTAATTTTGGTTCTTCTGCTCG